CAATGGCTTGAATGCAGCTTTCTTTCCTTTGTTGACATATTTCCTTTTGAAACAGGAAGCTGACTTTATTTCTTGTTTACTTTTTGTGTTTGAACTGTTCCAGAGTTAGTACGATTTTTTTATTAGATATTTTTATTCAAAAAGATTGCATTACATTTATGAAAAGTGACAGTAAAGGCTTGTACATTATTACAAAAGATTTATATTTTGAATAAATGCTGTTCTTTTGAACTTACATCAAAAATATCCTGAAAAAAGTAGCATGGTTTCCATAAAAATACTAAGCAGCACAACTGTTTTCAATATTGATAATAATAAGAAATGTTTTCAAGCAGCAAATCAGCATATTTGAATGATTTCTGAAGGACCATGTGACACTGAAGACTGGAGTAATGATGCTGAAAATTCAGCTTTACCATCACAGGAATGAATTACATTTAAAATATATTAAAATAGAAAACAGTTAATTTTATATTGTAATAATATTTCACAGCATTACAGTTTTACTCCATTTTTGATCATATAAATGCAGCCTTCGTGAGTGTAAGACTCTTCTTTCAAAAACCTAATATTACTAACAACAAAAAACTTTTGAACAGTATGTGACTATTTTAAACTTTAAATCTCACAATTAATTTTTTATGTTTTACTCTGTGGAAGAAACTGCAATAAAAGAGAAATACAAGAGATAGATTTATGTATATAGTTAAAAGCTAGTTTTAAACTTTTACCAGTACACTATCATACAGATGTCCAAGCTAACAGAAAGGACAAATGCCACAAAATTTCGATTTTGATTTCATGGAGTCTTTAAAAGTATAATATCCTTGTCAGAAGATCACACTGGAAAACACTGTAGTATATGACTGGTTTAGAACAGAAAGAAAACATTTGCTTAAAGGGGTCATATGATGCGATTTCAAGTTTTCCTTTCTCTTTGGAGTGTTACAAGCTCTTGGTGCATAAAGAAGATCTGTAAAGTTGCAAAGACTAAAGTCTCAAATCCAAAGAGATATTCTTTATCAAAGTTAAGAGTCAGCCACACCTACCTAAAACGGCTCGTTCTAACACGCCCCCACACTGTAAACCCGAACAGTACTACTAACTTATAAAGATTAAGAACACTGCAATTAAAGTCTGTTAAATCGTTGATGCAACTTATA